TTAGGGGGGCTCAGGGCTGGGGTAGGGGGTTGGGGCTCGGGGTTGGGGTGTGGGCTTACCTCCAGCAACTCCCAGTCAGCAGGGGTCTTAGGCAGGCTAAGTGGATAGGTAGGGAAAGCTGTCTTGGAGATGTTATGTAGAAAGAATTGGCAAGATTTAGACATAGCCTGGATGTGAGGACCTAGAGAGAGGTCTGAGTTGAAGATGATGCGCTGGTTATGGCCCTGAGTGAAAAGGAGGAGGATGGTGTTGTCCATAGTGACTAAGAAAGGAGGTAACCTCTGCATGTCTATTTCACAACCCTAAACAATGTTGCCATGAAAGGTTCTGGTGTTTAATTTTCGAAGTATGGTCACCTTGTATAAAGTCCCGCCCACTGTAAGAGACCAGGCAAAGTTAATGTCTCACCTAATAATTCAATTTCTCCAAGGCAGCTTTCAATAGCCCAGACATCTCACTCAATTTGGTACATTTCTGTGAACCACATGCTCCTGGTGGCCTGGTGAGCTAATGGCATCATGACTATGTACCAGGCCCATTGTCTCCAGAGGGATGTTGTAGTGGAACTGGCCTCTGATGCCAGGAAGCTGGGGTTGTGATTAACTTTTGCACATTTTACCACAGGTAGGACAGGAATGATATGGCCTTAAGTTCTATTCTAAATATGGATTCCTAAAATAAATAAAGAAACCTTCCTGTGTTCTGAATAATCCCTTTGAATGCTTTTGAACAGAAGAAACTTAAAAAAAAATCGTACTTTTCATCGTTGGTACTTTTATTTTTATACAGTTCATTCATCTTGGCCAATGAAACAAAACTAGTCAATGTCGCTTTATTTCTCATGCACCGGCACAATGCTTTTGTGTTTGGATAGGGTGACCAGATGTCCCGCTTTTATAGGGACAGGCCCGATTTTGGGGTCTTTTTCTTATAGAGGCTCCTATTACCCCTCCCCCCCCACACCACCCCGTCCTGATTTTTCACACTTGCTTCCTGGTCACCCTATGTTTGGGTTTTCATATAAGTTCGTTATTTTTTTAAATTTACAGGTCAAGCTTTTCAAACACTGCTAGTGATTCTGGATTCCTCAATTTGTGGGTGCCCAGCCTGAGTCACCTTAGAGGGCCTGATTTTTTCAGAAAGTGCTGAGTACCTACCCTCTGAAAACCAGGCCTCTTTAAGGTGGCTCAAACTAGCCACCCAAAGTCATGAGTTGTTTTGGATAGCATGGCCTTAATGATTTAGTTAAGTAACAGAGAGAAATTTTTTTTTTGAAAAGGGGGGCGGGAGGGTGATATTAGAAATTACAACAAAATGGAACTTCCAAATTTCTTCTGCTGGGCTAATTAACCGTACACATGGGTTAATACTCATAGAATCATTATGATAGTACCAACACAGAGGAAATGGAAAAGTCATATGTATCTCATGGAGCTTTAGTGCACTTTGGGATGACCTAAAAGGCATGGTGTCCCATTTTTTACATGGGATGTGTACTGTAGAAATTGATGGGTTTAGCGTGTGACTAAGTAGCAATGGGATAATTTGTCAACTCCAAGATCACTGGGAAGCAAAGTGCAGAGATGATGGGGCTCAAACTCTACTGACATATAAGGACAAAAACACTGAGATAGGTAGTGGACGACTGGTCTATTCCGATCTCTAAGAGTGGCCATTGCCAGAGGAAGGTGTTAAACTCCCATACTGCATCTAATCATGCAGTATTAAACTATGGGGAAAACACCACTGACCTGAGCTAGTGAGTTACTTATGCCTTGAATCATGAGGACTGATTCCCTTAAATAACTTTATCCTGCCTAGTACCATTGCTGATGTTATTCTGATACATATAACCCTTTTCTGGGACATTTACAAAACTATTTTCCTTAACCAATCATTCTGTGTCCCTGGTTAAATGGACAAATTATATGTTGCATAAAAAGCATTCCATTGTATCCCTTTGCCTTTCCATTTCACTGCATGCCTTCTCTTCTTGCATTTTGTAAAAGAATAAATACAGAGCAGCCAACTGCTCTTATTCTTTTATTTCACTGTCGCCTCTTATTTTCCTTTCCATACTGTATTATCTCAGGGCCAAATCCTGCCTGCGTGTCTCATGCCATTAATCCCAGTGAATTAGATGGACCATTTGCATGAATAAAATGAGCAGGATTTGTACCCTAATCTATCTAATAACCCCTTTCTTTCCTCCAATCATTTTCATTGACTTACTCTGGACCTCCCCTGAGGTGCCTTCAGACACCAGCCAAGCCTAGAATGACCTCCTTTTGCTGGAATTAGACTTAAAAGTGGCTGGCATGATATCTTTCTTTTCTTTGTATGCACAAAAATGCTAAGAAACCGACACCCACTCCCTATCACCAACTTTCACATGTGGCTTTGTGTTTAAAGCTCCTAAGGGTCAAACTTGAATGCCTAGTGGACCATCATGCACAGAGATATTAGATAAAGGTTCATTGACAACCGTTGGTCCAAACTGGATCATGGTATATGCGTAAGAGGTCTAAACAAGTGCCTGATGAATCTGCTTAGGGTTGAGAAGCCCAATTAGAGAGTGATGCAGCTTGTTACAAATGTCACAGATCCATGTGTTGTCTGAGTTAGAAGCCAAGGTTACAGCTCGCTGCTTTTCTTCTTTCTCACTTTGCTTCCATCAGCTGGATCAAAGCCACTTCATGCTGAGCTGCACCCAGTGCCACATATTCCCTCCAAATTGGACGGGATTCTGCACGCTCCTCCCAGCTGTCTACGCTGATGTTGAATGACTTCATGTCATTTTTGCACATGGTGATACTGTTGTAAAGGGCGACCCCGCTTTCTAGTGCTGTCCTGAATCTCGCTATATAAAATATTTTTAGGGAGACAGTCTCCTCCCATTCTCTGCCATGACCGAGCCATTGCAATCTCCTCTTCTTGACAGTGGTTTCTAAAAGTGTGTCAGTGCGCTCCAGCTTCAGCACAGAATCTTATGCAGGCATCTCATGTGGAAGCTGTTTAGTCTCCTGATGTGCCTAGCATATGTAGTCCATGTTTTTGAACCGTAATGAAGGGATGACAGCACACTAGTCTTTTAGATGTGCATCTTCACCTACACTCCACTACATGTACACAGTAGCGGTAATTGTACATATAAATTGGACACACAATTGCACACACAAGGCGTGCAGGTACTAAAAAAAACCTCAGGCCCCAAATGGCTCTGCAGCGTGTGCCTGCTGCCACTGTGATGTGTGCATTACAAAATGCCACCCACCCACACCTACACAAACAATTAGACAAAAATCACAGCTCTAAAGCACTACTGAAGATTCTGGAGATTTTTGCAGGTGGCTCAGATACAATGTTTTCATCGGTCCTTTATCACCGAGAAACAGCAGGAGCATTGTAGTGTGTACATCTGCACTGTTTTGTGACAAAAGCTGCCTTTTGTGGCGTGGAGACAAGGCCTTGGGCTCTTTCGCAGCGTGGAACAGGGGCATTATTTCCATTCAGAGAGGATCCTTGTGGGAGGTGAGTGCCACTGCAAATGGCACAGTTGAAATCCAACTCCCTCTGTCACACTGGGCACTGTGCTCCTGTGAGGGGCTAGTGGGGCCTGGGGGCCAGGTCCCGCTCTCACCCCACCCCAGCTCAGCAGGGAGCGTGCTCGCCCAGGGCCAGGGCTTTGGTTTGTAAAGAATTCCTCGTGTGGACAACACCCGCTTTACCGCCCCAGGGCCAACAGCCCTGGGAAAGAGCATGGGGGCTGGGGGCACTGGCCCTGTGAGCCCCCGGAGAAGCACCCAAGACAATAACGTTACACGTGTCTTGTCCCAGCAGGGCCTCACTGAATCCCCACCTGTTCCTTAGCCAGAGGCATTGACACAGCCCAGCCTCTGGCCCAGGGGCTCCGGTGGGCTGGTCCCGGGTGCTCCAAGCAGCGCAGGGTCCAATTGTCCCAAAGACACCAGGCAGTCTAGTTTCAAACACGTGCCAGGGCAGTCTTCCTGTTCCCCCCGCAGGTGGGGGTGTGGGTTAGAAGCAGGTCCTGGCTTTCGGAGGGGCAAGGACGTTCTCCTCCAGATTTAGGGATGCAACATAGGATCAGCCTGCCTCGCCTCCCCCGCTCTCCTTCGCCTTGGGCTGGGGAGCTGCGTGACTAGACCTGCTGCTTAGGGCTGTCCCTCTCCCCAGCGAGGCCCCCAGGCCCCGACATCGGAACTGTCTCTCTCTCTCCGCCATCCGGACAGCTGGACCCAAGAGTCTCAGCTAAAAAGCTGCCCAAGTGGGAGGTTAAATACGCGGCTGTTTAAACGTTAATGTGAATCAGCTGGGTAGCCCCCCAAGCTGTGGACTGCCCCTGGAAATGGGCGTGTGCTCACAGAGCGCCCCGGGGGGATGGAGACGCTGCAAACCGGCTGCCAAGTGAAATTGTGTTTTCCTTTCTGTTCGGGTTGATTTCACGATACTCAGCTTCCAGGGGGATTTGAGAACGGCAATTAAACCACTGGGCTTAATTATGGAGTATCCGATTGGATTATTAATGTTATCTCTCCTCTGACCCCTTTCGTTTAGTTCAGATCCAATTTCCTTTTAAGTTGTCTTCCTATACTAAGAATGATAGTCCCCTGGTTGTGCTGAGCTCAGGCTCGGTGCCTGCCAGCCGTCAGCAAGTCTTTCCGGGCAAACGCGAATCTCCTGAACTGTGCAAACTGTGCTCACGGCCAGGGTCCCTGAGATGCAGCTCCCCAGAAATGTACTAGGGATTTAGGGCAGCGGTAAGGGAAGGTTCAACCCCCTCACCCCCTTTGATTCCCTTCCCTCTCCGGGTTCCTTCTTGCCAAGAACCAGGACTAGTTGCTGTTCTATCCTTTCACCAGAAGGAGGCACCATGGGTCCGGGATAAGCCTGCTTTTCTCCCCTCCGGTTACATGACGCTGGAAGCTGCCTCAGCCGGTGTCTCTGCACTAGGGGGGAAAGATCCAGAGAGACAGCGGGAGAAGAAATTTCTTTCTTTTTTTTTAATCCAGAGCCCTTTCTGTATGTGTGTATCTCTGTGCGTCTGCGTGTATGTGAGATTCAAAGCCTTTTCCAGAGCTGGACAACCTGCATCTCCCCACCCCCACTACTGGGTGATTAATACCCATTTTCCTTGCGCTCCCTCCTCCTCTTCCCCTGTTTTCCGTACTGTTGACTTGCAAAGCTCCCCCCCCCCCCGCCCCCATAACCACCAATTGGGATCTGGGTTCTTTGCTTTTCCTCCTTCTCTCTCTCTCTCTTTCGTTTGCTCGCTTTTTGCCGGGTGTTTTTTGATTCGCCTTCCTTTGCTTTCTCCCCCTCCAGGAAATCTTCTCTGGGATTTTATATTGCAGAAGAATTTGTTTTTTAATTTGCTCTGAACAATCTCTCCCCCCCCCCACGCCTCCCACCTTGCCTGTGTCAAAGAAGATCCTGAGTGAACCTGAAGAAGTTCAAAATGCCTGAGATGGATGGTTAATACTGCTTTGCAGGAAAAAAAGGGAAATAGCCACCCCAGGGAATTCAAAATTGTTGCAACAGGATTTGCTGGTAGGTACATGTGTCTATATTTTACCATCGCTTTGAGGTTTAATTGTTTTTTGCACGAGAGGACTGATGGGAGGGGAAAATAATACCCATGGGTTCATTAAAGAAACGTCGGTATAAATATACCCCCACACCACCTTTATAAATATATTAAAGAGTTAAACAAACAAACCCCAGAGAACAAATGGATGTATTCGGAGGGTGACTGTGTGGCCGGGCGTTGCAATTACTCTGAACGAGACACGTTGCAGGTGAAACCAACAGCCCTCTGATGCACATCAGCACACCAGCTTCCCTGTGTGTCCGCGTGTGCGTGTCCCCACCTCTCCAGAAATGCAAAATGTACACTCAGTGCACAATCAAGCCCCTGTTCAATCCCAGAGCGGGGTGGGAAGAGACGGACAGACGGGTCAGCAGCAATGCAGATGGGGATGGTAACTGCATTTCCTAAGTGTTTGTTCCAAGCGGTATGTTGTATTTTGTACGTGTGTGTGTTGGTTGGATGTGTGTGTGTGTGTGGGGGGGGCAGAGTGGTGGGGGGAGTAGAGGTCTCTCTTTCTCTCCACGATTCACATCTCGCTCGTTTTCCGATCTCGTATCCATGCCTATCCCAGGAATGGTACAACCAGACCGTATCTGAATTATTTATAGACTCGTGCCAGCTGTTTTCGATTCCTCCTGGCTGCATGCACTAGTGGGGAATGCGTTTTTCTTCTCGTGCTTCTAGATAAATCCATGTCTTTATTGGGGAGCATTTTTCGTCTCCCTCAAACCCCACTAATACAAATATCGATCCTTTCTCCCCCCTTCAGGTGGGGAACGCTGTGGGAATAATCATGCTTCACAGAAGAACAGCACCGATCTCCAGTTGCTCTAAACACAACCTCATCCGCTAGGGCTCCAGGAAAAAAAAATAATTATAAGAATCGTACTTGTGAAAAAGCAATGATTGCTTTGGATGTTGCGCTTTACCATCCTCCGTGCACTCTCTGAAGTGAATCTCTTCTCTTTGAATTTGCACCGCTTCAAGACCCAAGATTGACACACACGATATTTTTATAGCCAAATCGGATTTTTTTTATCATTTCTCCCATTTGCTCCCCCGACCCCTATTCTTCTTATGTGGATATGCAAGCAAGAAGAGAAGTCTGGATAGTCCCAACATGCTCGCTCCTTTAATCTGTCCGTCTAGAGGTTCTGCTTCTACAAACCAAGGTAGGGAAATTTCTCTTTTTGTTTTTCTTTCAAGGCTGACAGCTCATTGTTGCTCGCTCATTTGTAAAGGGAAACCACAGGCGATATAACCGAGAATCCAGTGATGTTTTTTTAAGAGTAGATCTAGCTAGAAGGAGGAATAGTCCTCAGACATGTTGATTCCTCTCCCCCTTGTCTCATCAGATAGGATGGGCAGAGAGGGGAATAGGAATGTCTGAGTTACTATTTCAGTGAATAGAGGGGAAAGTTCTCTGGGTTTTGGGGGTTGTAGGGGAAGGGGAATTAAGACAATTAAAATCCAACCCAGGGCAAATCGACTCCCTCTCTCTTCACTGCCTCCTCGCCTCCCTCATTCATTCCGTGCTTCGATTCCCTTCTCGCAGTTTATTATTAAGAAGAATAAATACAAACCTGCTTGTTGCCTAAAAGGATGGTGCATAATCTAGAACCAGGGCCTGGGCATCATTGGAGGCCTAATGCAGTGAAACTGATCTAAATGGGGACCGAGGCTGGCGAGGGGTGGCCAGTCCCAGGAACAGTGGTTGAAACGAGCCAGGCTGCTGTGTGTGCTTGCGTGCAGGTGAAGGGCTATTTTAAGTCCAAGCACGTCAAGAGACTTAAAATAAACCTACTAGGCGCTTTATTCAGACAAGTCCATGGTTTTAATTTATTCTCTCTCTCACCCCCCCGCCCGGCGCTGGTGTGGCGGTTGTATTCAGCGGTGATCCTTCCCTCCCTTCCCCTTTCTTACCCCCGCCCCCCACAGCCATACCGTCCCTTTCTCTGTCTCCGCTCACACACGCCCTCCTCCGCAAACTGCTACTTACACTGATGCAAAATGGCTATCTTGCAGTTTGACTGTGCCTAGGCGAGAGATACCGGTACATGCACGACAGTAATTTGCCATGTGAGTCTTTCTGTAAGATGGTGGCAAGACAAAGGAATACGTGCTCTTGGGGGCGTGTTCATTTATATGTGTCTCTTGTTTGCTCTATACGGAAAACTATCAAGTGCTGATTTTTTTTTAAACCAACATCCATTCTCCAACCTGCTGTGTCGTTAGGAGTCGTGGTCACACACACACACATACACACGCGCGCGCAAGAAATTGCTGTCACTCTACCAGCCTCTCTGGCCAATGGCTAATGTCAGATAGGACTGAAATCCAGGGTAACCGCTGGAGCTTATTAGATGCTATTCAAGGAGCGTGATAAGAAAACGGTCCCTTGCTCCCTGCGACTCTAGAACCGAAGGGGTCTCCAAAGGCCGGGAGCCGATGCAGAACAGGAGGAAGGAGACTAGAAGGAAATCAATGTGCAGAGGAGCTAGGCTGATGTGGGATTTATTCCTACCACACCCCCTTAGCTTCCCCGTACTGCGCGTCTGCTGCCGATGATCCGGGATAATACAAGGGACGGAAGTGGGCCGGCGAGTGTCTTGGGTGGAAACCCCAGCAGAAGTGACAGAAGTCCCCTAGCTTGAGTCATTTACAGTCGGATAAAGCCCTGGGGTGCGGAGGGGAAGGATCCTGCAGGGGTGAGAGGAGGCGCGCGCTCCAGGATGCTCTTCCCTTCTGAGTCTCCCCTAATATTTCTAACGGGTCTTTCCCCTCGCTAATGTGTCTGACGCGTGTGGTGCTAAAACCAAAGGCGCCCCGTCCTGGCACGGGGCAGCTGAGCGGCAGGGCCCCATGGCTGTAGCCACGTTCTCCCAGGCTCTATAAATAGCATCCGCGCCTAGTTCCGACTCGGTGCCAGCTGACTCCGGCCGCCTCCCTCCGCAGGCGGGAGCCGAAAGTTTACCTGCGCGCGGAGTGGGTGTGCTGGCGGGGATGCGTGAGCAGCTAGCCCGGAGATGTCAACATTTCCCCAAGGCGTGTCAGAGACCCCAGCGCGGGTGAGGCCGGCGTGGGCAGCCTGGCTCCAGGCTGGGTCTGAGCCTCGGGCTGCGCCTTCCTGATCGCGTCCCTCCCTTTGTAACAGCACCGTGGCCCAGAGGCAGTGCCCGAAGGGCTCGGTGCGGGCTCCCCCCCTCCCCACACTGTTTGCAAGGAGCTGGGCTGGGAACTGCATTCTCATTCCTTCTTTTCTCCCCACGGAGCTGGGGCTGGCCGAGGGACCGGGGCTCGGGTCCTTAGCCTGCACTACTATTCATCGTCATTGTGCTTTAGTTTATTTAATGTTTGTGAAAAGCCAACTGTAGTGCTCTGCCCGCTCCGCAGGGCGCCGGCCGGCGGGAGACACCATCCCTGCCCCGGGGGCCCACACTACACGCCCCGCCCGGATACTGACAAAGCCTCTGGGTGTGCGCCCGCAGCTGTAGCGCGGCCCTGGAAGGCGGGTGGCCCCCGAGCGCTGCTGCCGCACCTGGCCTGCGGGCAGACGCAGCAGTGGGGTGGGTGGGGGCGTGGGTGTGCAGAGGCACTGGCTGCGCCGCTCACACAGCCCGGCGGAGACCCGCTTCTCACGGTTCATTACAGCTCGCGGTCCCACGGCGTCCGGCTTGCTCCGCTGTGGCTGGGCAGGGTTCTCTCGAGAGGAGGGGAGGGTCTCTGCAGCTAATGCTCGGCCCTGGCTGCACATTTCTCCGGCTGGGGGCGATAGTTCGGTATTCGCCAGCACCGCGTACCAAGATTTGCCCGCAGAGCAGGGCCAGCCCCAGAGTCGCCCCCCGCCCCCTCTGTCCACAGCCCCGCGCCCCCTTCCTGCGCTGCGCTCCCTCTGGCTGTCACCACCGACCGCATATCCCCCAGGAGGAGGCAGAGCTTGGAAAGGGTGACTGCCTGGGGCAGCGGGGTCCCGGGGAGGCTGTGGGGAGCAGGGGCACACTCCCCCTCCTACCCGGAGATCAGCGCAGGGGGACTCGGGCGTCTCTTCTCTTGTGTGCGCTCCCGGAGCTTGCCGCAGAAAGCGCAGGTGGCTGGAGCCACAGGCAGCGGCAGCTCCCAGAGATAGCGCTACGGATTCGCCCTGGCCGCCCCGAGGGGCAGGGGGCTCCCGGCGCGCGGTGATCGGGGACTCAGCGCTGCTGCAGCACAAGGCCCGGGACACACAATCCCACGCCCACGTGGACGCGCACCAGGCGATTAGCTCAGCTGTGTGGCTGGCAGGGAGCCGACTTCAGAGCCATTGTAATTTACCGTTCTCTCCCCTTCCCCTCCCCCGTAACCCCCCCCCCCCGCCCCGGCTTGCTCACACCCCTGGGCGAGCGGGTCCAGAGGCTGTTTCATTAGAGGAGACACTCGGGGTTTTCTTGCTCTCCAGAAGGAGCGAGCGGCGCGGGGCGCAGGATGCGCGCAGTGGAAGGAGGGCCGCGCCTGGGGGTGTTCAGACCCCACGTGCTGCTGGGGGGTGGGAGCATGGGGCTGGCTGCAGGTGCGTGGGTAGGGGCGGGGAATCACCTCATCACCCACCTGACGCTTCTGGCACCCGCGGCCTGGGCTCTGCTGCTGGAGACAGAGGCGAAGCGCTGTCCATTTTCAGCCCAGAAGCCTCTCCCGCTCCCTACACGTTATTCCGGGGCCACCACTCCCACCTTGGTTCTCCGCCTCAGATCGCTTTCCCACGCCCAGCCCTCCCGCGTTCCTCGCCGACCTGCCATCGCTCCCCTCCTGCGCTCCGTGCTCCCCTCTTTCCTCGCTCGCCCTCCCACTGTTTCCTTCTCCCTTTGTGTCTGTGTCTCCTGCGCTCTCTCCTTCTTTCTTTACATGCCTCTTCCTCCCACTCCCTCCAGCCCTCTCGCTCCTCGGCATTTCACGTTCCCACTCTCTGTTTCTATCCCTCGCTGTCCCTCCGCTCCCTCCTTCTTCCACTCAGTTCTCTCTCTTCCTTTCCCACCCTCCTCTCTTCTAGTCTCCTTTTCCCTCCATCCCCTCTCCTGCTCCTTCCTCAGTCTCGCTCTCCTTCATCCCTTCCATCTCTGCGCTCTCCCTCTGGAGACTGATTTTAATCTCAAACGCACTCACTGACTGGTCTGGTCCTTCTCCCACAGGGCAGACTCCAGCTGGCCCGCACACAGAAGAGAGGCCCCTGCTCGGGGTGCTCTGAAATTGACCAACCCCGGCCCTTTTCTGTTGTGCCTGCTGTGAAATAAGGGAGAGATCAGATACAGACCCGTCCTACCTCCCTGGGTTGCAGCTAACTTTTGTTTATAGCCGATATAAGGAGGGAGCCAGCCGCCGGCCGATTTGAGCGCAGGGAGAGAGCTGGCCACTGGCCCAGGCCAGCCAGCCGTCGCTCTGGGAATGAAAGCAGAGGAGCTGGTGCGCGGTTGGAGCAGTGACGGCCCAGGGATCTGCAGTCCGATCCTTCTCACTGGCTGGAGAAGGAACACCACAATTGTAGGGAGAGAGGGGCTAGTTTGGCGGACACACCCCTCTCAATTTCTCGGGGATCGAACCTTCATCCGGTCAAGAGTCTGGGAAAAACATGCCTGGGAGCCGCTGAGGCTCCAGGGTTGGGGGATACCTGCTCTTAGGGGGTGTGTTAAATGGTCACCCGATCTGTATGGGAACGTGGGACCTCGCTATCTCTCGGTTCCTTTTGATTATATCCCGTCTCTGTCTTCCTACCCTCTCTCCCTATAACGTATGTTCTCCTCGCTGCATCCAGGGACAGGGGTGAGTTTCTCCGTGTTTGGGAGAAGCCAAGAAAGATCATGCAGGGGCTTCATAACCAGAGGCAGAATTTATGGCTCGGGAAAACACGAACTTACTTTGGAACAGCTTCAACTTTCAAACCATCTTTCCCTCAGCGAACAGCAACACAGAGAGAAGGTGCAAAGCACAGACCTAAAAGGATAAACATTGGAACGGTCAAATGTGTTAATTCTGTCCTCGCTGACCGCCACCTCTACTGCCCCATCCACACACACGAGTCTGCTTTGTGGGTCTCATTCTGATTGCACAACAGTGGTAGAACAGGAGGTGCACCACTGAGGTAAATAAAGTTACACCGATGTCAAGCCTCTGTGTGTGCACCTGCATATAGAAGCACAGTAGACATTGTGCTACACATAGATACGTATGTGATAAGCTGGTTATACAATAAGTTGGATAAAAGAAAGGTCCTAAGTGGCTGGTGAAGGACTCTGATCAGTGCAATTATTTCAGGACACCTGCACTGATTGGAACTTTTGCTACATCACCCTCTTTCACATATCCATACATCCATGAAAGAACATTAAGAGACAGCAGGAGAAAAAAAATCACCAAGATCTCTCTTTCCCCCGACAGCCTTTTTAATCATTTATTGTTTGGTTTGTTTTATCCTAATGTTGGAACATTAACAGCCCTTAAAAATCTTGTCTGTAGGGGAAAAGGTGGTTTTATCTATTTATGCATTTTAAATACCAGTTGGAGTTAAACCAAACCTGTTTCTCCTATGTTTTGTTGCAAAAGAGGCCAGCTGACTCTGGAGTCCAGTAGTTAGTGTTCTGTGCTGCCCTATGGAATTGTGTTTTGGTTCCCAGTCCTGGACTCTCAATGCTTGGGTTGGTACCAGAGCTCAGAGATCTAAGGTTTAGTGTCTCGGCAGTGCCAGGTCGGAGGCCTGGGTTTGACTCCCAGTTCTGTTCTCTGACCTCTCCCCTCAAGCTGGCATAGGATGTGAGCTTGTTGCACAGCCTACACAGAGCTCTAAGGGTTAGTGTCTCTGCAATGGGTTTGATTCCATTTTCTGGTCTTTCACTTCTGAGGCTTGAAGAGTTTAGGATTAAGCAGAAGCTGGGGCTGATCCCTTAGTTGTTAATGGTCTACACTACCCCGAGAGAAATGTGGGTAGCACTGTGAGTCTGCTGCACCAAGTCCCTTCATCTAAACCTCTTGGCACCTGGAATGCAGGGCATGTGGTGGTCAGCAGGGACACAGCCTCAGCAGCAGGAGGAAACAGGGGGCAGGGGGAGGAAGTTGTATGTCCTAACAGATACATGATGAAATAGACTGGTTAATCAGAGAGACAGACTGGATGATTTAATAGATACAAATGGAAAAAGATGTATGTATCTATCTGATCTACTGTATGGTTCCTGTAGCATCTGAGCACCCTATGACGAGGTTCCAAAATTGCCTGAATCTTCTGTGCCTCCCATCTGGTGGAAATGTTTACACTTAAAAGAAAAGTGAGTGACTGGGAGAAACATGACGGATACATCTTCCATTATAATGATCCCTCCTTCACCCACCCATCCACAAGAATCCTCTCACCCACAACGAATCAGCTGATTAATTTAGTTGCTTCAATGCAGCAAAATATACCTGCAACTGACCTGGGGGCCTCAGGGACTAAGAGGAAATGGCCATTTGAAAATTGCAGTTCTGGAGTTTGTAGAAGGGGAGTCCAGGAGTGATAAGATTAAAATCGAAGCACGATGTCCTCCTACCAATTGCCTAATGCCCTCTAGCCTGAGCCCATTATTTGCTAAATGTTACAAGTATTTCATAGTATCAGAGGGGTAGCCGTGTTAGTCTGAATCTGTAAAAAGCAACAGAGGGTCCTGTGGCACCTTTAAGACTAACAGAAGTATTGGGAGCATAAGCTTTCGTGGGTAAGAACCTTACTTCTGCAAAAGTTAAAGGGACGCCATTACTGGTCATGAGTGTGATTCCTACTGGTCATGAGTGTGACTCCAATCCCTCTTTGACCTACCTTTATTTCTCTTATATCTGTTTCCAGTTATTAGGCCAAATCCTCAATTGTAGTCAATTGGTGTAGTGCTACTGAAATGAATGGAACTATGCTGATTTACACCAGCAGAGGGTTTGGCTCAATAAGATTAAATATTAAAGCTTAATTTTTGTCTTCTGAAAAACACAATCTAGGCCAGCACAGCAGCCCCACCACTCACAACCTCCTGATAATAACAAACAGCTGTTGAGAGCCCAGCACTCATGAACAACCATGCAAAAATAAATCAGTGTATGCGAACCCTGAGCCAGTGAACAACCCTACAATATCAAATGAATGTGTGCAGCTCTGCGCTTATGAGCAAACCCACAATAAATAGTGTGCACACCCTGTCAGAGGCAGGAAGAGGGCTCAGTAGATGCAAGCTAATTTTCATGCTGTTGAGGTTTCTATGTGGAAAAGGAAAGGTATGTGACTTGGTAGTAGACACAGTAAGTAAGCAAACCAAAACCATAGCTAATTTGTCTCTTTGAGCTCAAATTGCTTTTTCGTGTATTTTTTTGGTAGCGGGTGAGACAGGAGTGCCTTAGGCACTAGTCCTGGGCAGATGGAGAGGATTTTTGTTTTAAACATACACTGAATGAATGTAGTGCTGCTAAAAGGGGTCAGCTAATTTGATCTTTGTAAGCTGGGGTGCTCCCTAAAAGGGATCTCCTCCCACAAAAACAACAATGGCCTCCCTTGTATAAAAAGGATTTACAAAAAACGAACATCAATTAATCAGCTGGGAGCAAATGATGAGAAAATAGGGACAGGAGTGTGGTGACAGGTTCAGCATGAGGAATTCAGAGGGAGACACCAAACTGAGACACCTGCACAGCACCCCTCCCCCAATTCTAAGAAAGTGTCGAGGGAGTCAGTGAATGTCTCTGGTTATATTCTGGGAAGGGATGGCCTAAATTGCCTGGGCCAAATGAAGGAGAGGCCATAGAGCTCAGAAATCCAGTGAATATGGGGGATAACAAATGAAAAAACAGGAATGGAATGAGGGTCAAAGGTATAAAATGAGTGAACTGAATGGGAACAGCACACCGAGAACCATGGACAAGGCTCACCACTCCATGGAAATGTCAAAGGAGTCAGTGGATGTTACTGTTAAATGTGTTAGACTGACAGCCTTGAGAACTGAAGATCTGCTTCCTCTATCCCCAGCACAGGTACAGCTTCCTTAACGTTGTTGTGTACTGCTGTGCCTCACCGTTTATGTGGAGAAAAAGAGAATCAAGTCTTCATGGTGTGTTCAGTCCTTGGTGTCTATGCCAACTGGAATATGACTGTTTGCCTGTCAGGAACTGGAGGGAGACCATCAGCTCACTTGACACAAGGTAATTTTTTCAACGGTGCCTCAATGATTTAGGACCCTTCTTCCTATTTTCAAAAGTGGCGTAGGCACTTAGGAACTTCAGTCCTATTGACTTTTAATGAAACTTAGGCTCCTAAGTGCCTAAGTAATTTTTGAAATTAGGACTCAGGCTCCTAAATCACTGAGGCACTTTTGAAAATTTTATCTATAGCCACTAAACAACCATCAGATGGAAACCATTTGCAGTCATTACTGACCTAGTCTGGATTTGAACCAGCAATCAAGATGTAAATGACTGGATAGCTTAGTGTTAGTCTTCTGACACAGCCAACCTGCAAGCAAGGTAGCTTTATACAGGATACTGATTTGTGTAAAACAGAAAAGTAATTATTCTCTTTGCAGCCTTGGTTAAGTCTCTTCTAAAGCATGATGTTCAAGTTTGGGAGCTATATATTTAAAAGATTGGAGAGAGTTTGGAGGACTGAGCAATGAAAATGATCAAAGGTCTTAGAAAACAATACCTATTATTGTCAATATTAACTAATGGTTGAGAGAAAAGATAACTGTGGGTGGAGGCATAACTGTCTGCAAGTGTGTACAGGACTGTTACAAAAAGAAGACAGGGGCCAATTATCCTCATTAGTCACCAAGGACAGATCAGGAAGTAAATGAGTTGAAGAAACAGCAGCAAAATTTTCGATTAAACATCAAATTAAAAGTTTACTGCAAGAGCAGTTTGGGTGACAGAAGATGCTGATAGAGGTGGTGGAATTGTTATATTAGAGATATTAAAATCTAAAACCTAGATGCTCAACTATCAAGATTATATCTAATCTTTCTTCAGTGAGCCATTCACCTTGGTTTCAAGGTGCCAAATAAAGTCACTTTAGGAAGGAAATAACAAGATCAGACTTGTCAATACGCCGAGGACTATATGTCTAATTTGTGAGATCTTTTCCCACCATAATGAGTCTAGAGCTCAGACAGTGAACATACGACACTCGACGTCATGTTATGTATGTAGAAGCGAACATGGTGTTGCTGAATGCAACTATAGTTTGAATTCCCCCCAGAAGGTGTCGGGGTCTTTATATTATCTTATCAAAGGTCTTTATATTTTCAAAACCTCTGAGATTTTGTGATATAATTATCTACCGTGGTGAACTGCTAAGTTCACCAATAGTCTAAATGTTTACAGGAGAATCTCAGTTTTCACAAGCTTGTCCCACATTGTTAGCACTGGCAGGGACAGTTAAATAATTATGAGTGTATTTTGAGCCTCACTACATCATGACTATTGCCCCTTGTCATCAGTATGTTTCTATCTATCTCTTTTTATCTTAAGGTTTTGAACTGGCTCCCATCATCATTCTATCTGAACATCCAGAATTGATGGTGCAAGGTGATGTGACATTAGTGTATGAAGTCACACATTAACTCAATGTCACAGTATGAAAACACATGTTTTGCCATGTCATGGTATGGTTGTTTTTTCAGGCTAGACAAGCAAAAAAGTTAGATGGAGGCTTTAAACTAGACTCTTTCTCTTTACTTCCCTTTGTCCCTCCCACCAGCACTATCATATTAAAATAAGATTTGAGGGGACAGGCAACACAGCAGTTTCTAAGTCGTCTTCCTGCCACCCTCCATAGTACCTTCAATCTCTGGTCTGATTAATTTGGAGGAACTGTGTTCTCATCATATCTCACAAACCATGTAGGTTTGGGCTTGGTCAGATGGGAGGCATCCAAGGAAAACTTGCATCAAGTGGGGTTAATGGTTCAGTCGAGGCACTCTTGCGTCAGTACTGATCATAGTGCCCCAGCATGGTTGTGGAGGGTGCTGTGCATCTAGAGGTGCCACTGTAATAGTCACCCTCTTGAATGAAACACCAGGGAGTGAACCAGGAATCTCCAGAGCTAAAAGCATGAACTGCGACAGCTTGAGCTCAAGAGCCAAGCTGCTAGTAGTGACTAATTGTATTCTCTGTGGACTGGCCCAGAGGGGGGGACCTGTTACACACATGCAGCAGGGGGTTACACCATCATTTAGGTGACAGATATAAAATGGAGTGTGGAACTCTGGCATTTTTCACAAGAGTATGGGGCTTTAGTACTGGTGTCCTGATCTAATTCCATCTTGGAAATGTTATGAGTTCCTAAAATTCATCCTGTAATTTCATGTGAATATGGTATTTTCCTTTCACCTTCTGCCCTGAACTGCTATGTAATATTGCTGTTCATTGGTAAAGAGCTGTCTTATTCGTTCTAGGCGTGCATGCATTTCAACAGTGGTTGAAGTGCTTCTTATGTGCATGGTGATCTGAAAAGAGGCTTGGGATCCTTTAAGATAAAAGAAATTATAGACTTGTAAGATTACTGTTTCAAAGCATGGATAGCTCAAAAAGGGAGAATGGGTTACTGGGAACCAGGTGAAAAGGCTATGATTTGGTGTCCTGAACTTGCAGTGAATATACCAGTGCAAATGCCATGTCCCTCATCCCATTCTGCAGCCTAATACATGGAGGATTTGCTTTCTGGCAACTGGCTTTACAGCTCTGATATTACCTGAGCACAGGGGTGGTTCCATAGGTAGACATGGGCTGTAGTTTCTTCCTCTTAATGGTTCAACTCTAGCTATAAACACTTGTAAGTATGGAATTATTTGACAAAAGGTTTTTTTAATGTCAATTTGTCCAAACCAAAACATTTTGGGAAAATGTTTCAGTTTGGAGGAAGCTTTCTGGCTGAAACTAGAAAGACACCTCCCAGAATAGCCCTGTAGTTAGTGAACTTGTAACCCACACACCTTCTGGGTGTGGTGTGCTGTCCCATCTAGTGGCACCGAGACCACTTAGGATAAGTCTACACTACCCGCCGGATTGGCGGGTAATGATCGATCTATCGGGGATCGATTTATCGTGTCTAGTGTATCTTAGGTCGATTCCCCCTCTTCCCCCCCCAGTGTAGACCAGGCCTTAGAGAGAGTTAAATGAGTCTGCTCTACAGCCTCAACTAATATCCAGTTGGCTTTTAGCTCATGCTATAGAGGCTCATGCACTAAGCTCCAGAGATCTCAGGTTCCATCCTGCCTGCCGACGACCGGATAGTCAATGATTTATGCAAAGTGAAACAGCTTCAACAGGAGAGCTTGAGAGACTGACTCTATGGCCTGATGGGGAGACTACGTTGTTTGGGATGTGGGAGACGTTAACCACCTGGCAATTCTGGGTATCTCTTTCATTTTTTTCACAAAAGAATTAGGTTTCATTTTTGTTCCGATGCTAAATGAAAACAAAGGTCAAAACCTTGACATTTTTCACAAACTGGAATTCTTGTTTTCTGGCCTAGCCATTGACTTGATTAGGCTGCATTATGGGATTGGAAGAAAGTGAGAGGAATCTATTATAACATGGATTCTCAATCTGTTGGTCTTCAACGAGCTCTGCAGGGACATGGCCATCCTCCCTTTAATGGCTAGATGTAAGGGGCGTCCCAAAGGCTTTTTTGTGGTTGTTGTAAAAGGGGATCATGGTAACAAAAAGGCTGAGGGAAACTCCCATACACAATAGCTAGGGCCCTACCAAATTTATGGTCTATTTTGGTCAATTTCACAGTCATAGGATTTTAAAAATTGTAAATTTCATGATTTCAGCTATTTAAATCTGAAATTTCAGTGTTGTAATTGTAGGGATCCTGACCCAAAAAGGAGTTGTACGCAGGGGGAGTCACAAGGTTATTGTAGGGGGGGTTGAAGTACTGCTTCCCTTACTTCTGCACTGCTGGCAGCAGCACTGCTTTAGGAGGTGGGCAGCTGGAGAGCGGTGGCTGCTGGCTGGGAGCCCAGTTCTGAAGACAGAGCCATCACCAGCAGTAGCACAGAAGTAAGGATAGCATGGTATGGTATTGCCACCTTTGCTTCTGCGCTGCTGTCTGCAGAGCTGGGCCCTCAGTCAGCAGCCTCCCCTCTTCGGCCACCCAACTCTGAAGACAGCAGCGCAGAAATAAGGGTGGCATGGGATGGTATTGGCACCCTGACTTCTGTGCTGCTGCCGGCGGGGCGCTGCCTTCAGAGCTGGGCACCCAGCCAACAGCTGCTGCTTTGCGATCACCCAGCTCTGAAAGCAGTGCAGAAGTAAAGGTGGCAATACTGTGACCCTCCTAAAATAACCTTGTGACCCCCCTGCAACTCCCTTTTAGGTCAGGACCCTCAATTTGAGAAATGCTGGTCTCCCCCATGAAATCTGTATAGTATAGGGTAAAAGCACACAAACGACCAGATTTCACGGGGGTGACCATATTTCACGGTCTGTGACACGTTTTTCATGGCTGTGAATTTGGTAGAGCCCTAACAATAGCCAGTTCCAGCAGGGAAGAAGGTCTTATAGGTGCACTGGATATTTGGAGTTCACAGCCACATCACCTCTGTCTCCAGGAGGAGGCACTATATTGAATGGTGTGGGAGAACTGGGCAGTACAGGAACCCCCAGCTACTGCAATCTGACCCTCTCCAAACAGGAGGCACTATGAGAAAAATGTCAGGGGGATTGGTGCTGAGGGAGGTCATAGACATTCCCATCTGAACTGATCCCAGCAGGAGGTGCTCTATCTGTACTAGCTGTGGGGGAACTCACAGCAGCTTCAGGGCCAGGCTGGCTCAGAAGATACTGTATGGAACAGGGTAGAAACTCTGGCTACTGAGGAGCTTCCAACTTGTGAACTGTTTCTAGAGAAGGATGCAGAAGGGGTTGCTGCTTTTCTGCCAGGAGTGTCTTTCTACTTGGTAATGCAGTGGGTTAATTAACTGCACATGACTGGATTCCTGTGAGGTTTCTGTCACTGAACTCCTCCGAGAAACACCTTTGAAATGCACTGTGGCACAGGAAACACACAGTAATGCACACTATTACTTACACATACACACACACACACACAGGAGGGTATCCATGCATCCCTGTGTGTGCCTGTATCTAGCTCGGTCTCTAATTGCCTAGTATCACTGGCTACTGTATTCAATGGGCTA